TATTTTCTTTGTTAGTGAAGAAATGGTGTTAGAAAAGCAAACTGATATACTCAAAGGGTTCCATACCTGTGGATAACAGATGTGGAGAGAGCCCAGGTCTCCAGACATCTGCTCTCACAATAATTCAGATTTTCCAATGGAATATTTCCCATCCCACCCCGTTATGGGCAGATGGTAATTATTCCACAGTTATAGGAATTATGAGGGGGTAGAATAATTTTTAAAACTGCATATTTTTCATGCAGTATAATAGTATATATTTTTAAATGCAGTTTAATGCTAAACACAGATATTAAGTCAACTACCTGTTTTCATTGTATGTGTCAACATTTTTGGTGATAATCATGTGAAATATACTATCTTACTTTCCAACTTTCCAACAAGGCAAAAATATCCATGTTATTCCCATTAGCAAAGATCTGAGATAATCTTCGGAAATCATTTGCTTATGTCTCACAGTGTTTTAACATGCTTCTACCCAGATCAGCAGGACTATTCTATATTTTGGTTTATTCAAACATAGTAACGAACAGTCAACTTTAGACAATGTAGTATGATTTTTCTTCCTGACTTCTGGTCACATTTGAGCCATCAAAGACAGGTCTCCAGTGGGTTAGAAGCTGGCCTCAACTCCAAGACAGTTTTACTTATTAGAACAGACATGTTATTTTCTGTAGTGATTCTGCCAGCTACTCTTAGTTCAGTGCAGGATAAACATGAGTCTGAGGCTCTAGGTCATGGATCAGAACACCAAGTCTTTGCAAAAATTTGTTTCTGTAAAGAATTATGGCTGTTGAGAAGGAAGGAGGACGAATGGAAGAGAGCAGAGAAAATTGCTTAGGGAACTGGTGTGAGGCTGGATTCCAGCACTGGCAGAAAAATAAAGACGTGGTCCAGTTGAGGGAGTTGGCAATTTAAAGACTCAGATCTCTCTGGAGTAGGAGGGGCCTGGAAAAGGGCCTGCGTTCCCTGGTCAGGCCTGGCCAACTGCAGATTGTCATTTTCCTCCATCTGCTTTATGCTGAAGTCTATTCTTTTTACAACAGCCAAAATTATACTTGTTGGTAAGAATGTGACATTGGCAGGGAAGTTCTGAGTTTCAGAAGAGCACAAAATAGAGAAGCCTATGAAGGAAGAGGATCCTGCTGAGGATGGGTCATTGTGGCCCCTAATTAGTGAAAGGGAGACATTCTATTACTGGCAGCCTGCAAAATGAGCTTTCTAACTCTGTTTTGACCTTGCCTCGAAATATAAGCTCACAGACTTCAAGCCTTTAAGTGAAAAAAAAGTTACAGTTGCAATTAACATAAGACAGGAATAATAATATGTAGATGCAGAGAAAGGCAAAACAAGGAAATATGTTTTCTTCCAGGATACATTTGTGTATCTGCTGAAATTGGAAATGTGTGATATGCATAGGACTATCAAAGAAAACAAAACTACTGAGAGGTCAGTGCTCAATGACACAGTTAATTTGAAATTTGATGGATTCATTTTCCATTTTCTACAAAGTAACCTTGAAATCGCCAGAGTGTGGGATGCGTCCTATGAATCTACAAGCAGGAGATATGGTCTGTGACAGACAGTGTCTGACCATACTCTTATCACGACTTTCAGAAGCAGCTCACAGGATCACTGGGAAATGTTCAATCAGGAAATATCTTAGAGTCCTTTGAAGCCCTGAAATGCTACGATTTCAAGATTTTAAAAGTCCAGCTTTTAAAGACAAATTGATACGGTGAAAAAAAAAGTATTCTTTCAGGCTCCCATCCACTTATAAACAAATCTTACAGGTACTTGTTAAGCCATGTGTTAGACAGGATGAGTGAAGTTCAAGTTCATCCTACTCTATTTATTAAATGGTCAGTTCCAAAATCCACAATTCACTGCTCAGTGTTATGAACTCATTTGTCCACGTATTCCTGTGACTTACTTCAATTTCACACATAAAAAAGTACTTCTCTTTTTTGTCAAATGCTCTTCATAAATAAAGCAGGCACACTTGCATCAATGAAATGCAAGAGCTGACAAAAAGATAATGCAATTTTATCAATGAAACCTAAATTACCCCAGAACTGGGAGACTGGCAAGGATGCAAGGAATTTCTGTGTGTACACATATGTTTAACTGTAAACAGGCTCTTTTAAAATCACTTCAGAAATAGATCCTATGATGACTTTCTTTTCAAAAGAAAGTTTCTATGAAGGCAAAGGATAAAGGTTACGCGTAAAAGCACAGACCACCATTACCATTTATGGTCATGTGTGCTATTCCAAACGAGTACTAAGCTGTCTTACCTGAGCCCTGGAGTTACCCTGAGAGCATAAAAATAATCAAGTGCCTGGGCCCATGTCAGGAAATTCTGACCTGGAACCTTGGAGTTGAATCAATGCCTGCCACTTTGTAAAGGCCCGGTGGTGACTTGGATGTGCAATCAAGGGTGAGTTCCACCATTCATCCTCTGAGATGTACATGCTGTCCTACGCTGCCTACATCTCAGTACAGCAGGATCAAGACAGGCACCCCCCAGCTTCTGGTATCCTTGGCCACAATAAAAGGCTTCTCCAGCTTTTGTCCTTCATAGGCCAAAAGGACCTGCCTCTCTCAAGGTCATCCTCACTTGTTGGGGGCAGCTGATACCTAAAGATTGGCCAAAGGAAAAAGGGAATAGCAAAGGTATAACTCATTTGCCTAAGCCTGAGAGAACTCCAATTAATCTTTAACCCTAACCATCTGTGAAATGGACTTACATGGCATTGGGGATGGGGGAGATTGGGTCAAAAGTTCAAAGGCAGAGGCTCAAAGATGTTTTTGCCTCTTGCTGCTAGTGACCTAAAAAGTCATAGTAGTCATTTTTTAAAGCTGAAAATGGAGACAGTAACAACAATATAACAAGAACTACTACTGTGTGATCTACTTTCCTGAGTAGTTACAAGAAATTAATAAGATAATGTGAACCACCTAAAATACTGTAAATCACATAACATATTGATATTCTTACATCTTTAAGTTTGAAATTCCTCACATATTATGTGAAAGAAAGATTAAAATTAAAGACATTGAAAGGTAAAAAAAAAATGCTTTAATCCCCAAATGTGCATTTACTTGGCATTTTTCACTGCATGCAGTGACTTTAAATAATGAAATATAATAGTTTTGTTTGCTCAGTTTGCAACTTCTACATAGAAATGAAATAAGCCATAAAAATAAATAGTCTCAGGTGCCAGGACAATTCACCTAGGAAAGAATCATCAACAAATAGTGCTGGGACACTCTATTACACATGCCAAAGAATGAAGATTGATCCGTAACTCACATCATACACAAAAATATAATTCAAAATAAGTCAATGACATATAAGAGCAAAAAATTCTTAGACGAAAACTGGCAAAAGTCTTCATGGTCTTGGAGCAAATGGTAGTTTCTTAGCTAGGACACCAAATGCCCAAGTGATAAAATAAAAAAACATAAATTGGACTTTATCAATATTAAAAACTTTTATGTTTCAGAGAACATCATCAGGACAGTAAAAAATAAACCCACTCACTGAGAAAAACTATTTGCAAACCATATATCTGATATGGAACATGGGTTTAGAACATATCAAAAAAACCTTTCCAATACAGCAATCAAAAGACAACTCAATGCTAAAATGGGCAAGAGATTTGAATAGACATTTCTCCAAAGATGATATATAAGTGCTCAATAATCGAGTGAAAAGATGCTTAATATCATTGGACAATAGAGAAATGCTAATTGAATCTACAATGAGATACTATTTCATGCCTACTAGGGTGATTCGAATGTAAAAAAGCTAACAATAAATGTGGACAATGGTATAGAGAAATTAGAGCTCTCACATGCTGTGGGAATGTATGAGAGCATAGCTGCCTTGGAAGATAGTCTCAGAGTTCCTTAAAATGTCAAATAGAGAGTTACTGTAAAGCCTAGCAATTTTACCTCAAGATAAATAAAAATATGTCTGCATAAAAATTAGTACAGAGGGCTGAGGATATAGCTGACTGGTACAGCACTTGCCTAGTATGTATGGTTCAATCTCCAGCACTACAAAAACAAACAAACAAAAAACCCAACAACAAACAAAAAACTACTACAGCATGTTCATAACAACATAATTCAAAATAGCCAAAAAGTGGGAAAAACCCAAATGTCTACCAACTGATAATGAATGGTGATGAAATAAAATGTGGTATATACATATAATGAAATATTATCTGGCAGTAAAAAGGAATGAAATACTGACACATACTCTAACACAGATGAACCCTGAGAACAGTATGCTAAGTGAAACAAGTCAGTCATAAAACACCAAATAATTAATTATTTTGTTTTTATGAAATTCCAGACTAGACAAATCCACAGAAAAAGAAAGTAGATTAGCAGTTACCAGGGGCGATGGAGGAATTGGGTAATGACTATTAATGGGTATGAGATTTCTTTCTGGGGTGATGAAAATGTTCTAAAATTAATTAGGTGATGACTGTACAACTGTAAATATACTAAAAATCACTGAATTGTATCATTTAAATGGGTGAATTATATAATATGAGGATTCTATCACAATAAAACTTTTAAAATAATCTTATGAGCTAAAGAAATGACAGACGCAAATAAGCATTTAAATATAACCCATGGAAAAATATTATGTCTGTTTTGCTTTGTTTAAAAATGAACTCACTGTCTAACATTAAATCAATCAAACCACAAACCTCATGTGTGGGAAACAGACTGGACAGAAAAAACTGACTGTTCCCTGAAAGAATTCAGATTCCCACCAAAATGGACTCAAAAGTTCTTAAAATTTGACTCAGATTAAAAGAATCAATAACCGACTGCTGGCTTATTCACATTAAAGGCTGTTAGGAAATAACAGTACTTTAAAAATGAGCATCCAAAATCCAATTTAGTAGTAAACACGAGAACATGTGGAGCAACAACTTTGCCCAAAATTGTACTCACTGAAATGCCGAAAACTTTACCTGTGAGCTTTCAGGATCCTCTGAGTAATAGCATCACCCACCTTATTGAACACAACTTTGTCATCAGCACAGCTTATAAAAAATTGGTTCTGAGAAAAAAATCAGAAAGTTATTCTTAGCAGTATATAAACTTTCCTTAGTATAAGGAAAATATGTTAAGTAGCAAAAGCTACATTGATTTTTTTTTTAAAGGTTCACACAGCAGCCATGTTCTTACTACTGAAATCACACGAGGAAAGTATAAGAATAAAATAAGTACACAGAATAAAAAGGCCTCATCTGACTCGGGTCTCAAGCATGTTTAGATAACTGATCAGTTTTTGCATCCTGGTCAAGTAGAAGGCCACATTATTATTATAAGTTGAGAAGTTCTAAGTTACATTCTTAGACTGCTAAGAACATTCTAAAATTAGGGTTTTTTCAGATTCACACATTGTGGAAATGCTTATGATTAAAACTTCTACTATTGGCATATGTCCCATGCTAAGTTTACTTTTTAGCAAGGTAGATGGCAGAGACCTGGTCTACTTTCCATCCTTTCTCCATTATATCTTTATGTCTGCTTTTACTTTGTCTCCTTTGTTTGGGACTCAGATTATCCCTGAGCTTCTAATTTAAGTAGTTTCAAAACCCTTTTGTAAGTATGCTGCATATATAAGTAAACTAATAAAATGGAAAAAAATATTTTTTCTCTAAGACTTCTATTTATGAGTCTATAAAATTCTTTAAAACTGATACGAGAAAACCAGCAATGACATTATCATAATGGTATAAAACTTTTGTTGCTGCATAAAAGAATGTTAAAAATCAGGATAAATATCATAAATACTATGTGTTCAAATAGATTGCAGATTGTTATAATACATCTTTAATTTTGAAGGACAATCACCTCAAAGTAGTATTTGCTAATCACCTTGAGGTGCCAAGATATATAAACAATAACTCAAAATATGAGTATCATCCTTTTGCAGCATTATCATTGAACAACTTTTTCACTTAAGTATACAAATCTGCAAAATACCTCCGGAACACAAACTTATAGGAAGACATTGTGCAGAAACTCGTTTAAGATTGTAGTTTGCCTTTGAGCATCAAAAAATTGAAATTTCAGTGGCAGCCAAACCATGTTGCTCCTCCCACCCTGAATTCATATTATAAAGAAGCTTTATGTTCCTCAGTAGTTCTAAGCACAGACTGGACACATATCATTTCCTTTACTTCTTTTTTTTTTTTTTTGGAGATGTAGAGTGTATGTTGATAACCTAACCTGCCCAGAGGAGTGTCTGTTAGGGCTATGTCTATGGCCAGATGTATGTACTTGCCATTCTTGACCTTATTTAATGCTATGCTCATATTTATAAGAAAAGTTGATATTAATACTAGTAAAAAGAAATAAAGCAAAATGACTCTGGATAATAGGTGAGTCAGCCTTAAAACCTTACTTTACTATGGTATAATTGTCAAAGTTAATAATACTAATAGTATCACTAAATACTAGACTTTATGCAGAGTTCACTAATTTCTCCACTAATGTTCTATGTTTTGCAAGCTCCCAACCAGTATATCACATTGCATTTAGCTTGGTAATATTTTCATTTAGCTTTCTTTTTCTTCAGGGATGACAAATAAAGCTCCAATTCTTTGCTGTCTGCCTTTAATGAACTGTCACTGCATTGAGGGTTTCAGGGTGAAACAGGATTCCAAGGGAAGGAGATATGGCTAGAGTAGTTTTTCCAAGCTAATCCATTTCCCCGCCAAACACTGTTTTATTGGATGGGAAAGAAGAGCTAGAATAAAGAAGGGAGATATGCTCTGACTTATTTTTTTCCACTACTGTGATTTTTTATTTTCTCAGGGTTTTCCAAGTATTCTGAGCTATTTTTATATCCACTTTGAAGTGCAATTAAAGTTCCCAAATTAAACTTTAAAAAATGTTCTCAGATTTTCTCATATACTCTGGACACAAACTCTAGGATCAGGAAAAAAAACTACTTTATAATGAAATGTAGTCCACACAGGATTGTAGAAGGTGACTCAACCATAGGGCACAACATTGGGTTACAAAAACCGATTCCATACTTTTCTACTGTAAATTTGTACTTTAGCATAATAGTAGCCAGCTGTTCATCTCAGTAGCTGCTCCTGGGAGAGATGGGAAGCAATCTTTGTGTTTACTCACTTGGTACAATGAACAGCAAGGTGTGTGCATCTGTGCAAAAGTGTCAAACCAGGATTTTTACCCACATAATGCTCAGTCTAACAGTTTTACCTGAGCATCACAGGCTGGGG